ACTTGAAAATACTACAATTTATATGTGCTGTAATAGCATGGGAAATACTTTAAATTAAAATACCCAAGGTTTAAGGTGCTTGCCTTGCACGCAGTCAACCCAACTTTGTCCCCAGCACCACATATGGTCCTGTGAGGCCAGCCAGGAATGGTACTTGAGAGTAGAGCCAGGAGTAAACCCTGAACACAGCCCGTGCCCTAACATGTAATTAATTAATCAATTAATTGTGTTAAAGGTCTTAAGTCAGGACTCATATTCTTCACCAGATACCTGATATAGTGGGAGAAAATGTTTACTATGTAAAGTAAGTAAGTAAAGGCCCTCCCGTTGATCATCGATTTGCTCGAGCGGGCCCAGTAACGTCTCCATTGGAGACTTTGTTGTTACTGTGTCTGGCATATCGAATACTCTCGGTAGCTTGCCGGGCTCTCCGAGAGGGGTGGAGGAATCGAACTCGGGTCGGCCATGTTGGCTGCGTGCAAGGCAGACGCCCTACCTGCTGTGCTATCGCTCCAGCCCATAAAATTGCCATTGACATCAGTGCATATAGCTCTTCCATTCAACATGAAAATTTATCCAGAAGAAATAAAGATGAATTTCTTCTTTCAGACAAGAAATGTATTTATGAATTTCTACTTACTGAAAGTATATTTATTCTTACTCTTTCCCCACTTAGAAGTGTTAAGAAGTCATGACACCTGAATGGTAATCCTCTTTAGACAATGTTCTACATTGCTCATTTTCTTTGGACATCTTTATAAGTTCCTTTCACTTATATTTCACTCCCTCTCATGGTATTATACTGTTATATCCTACATTTTTTCCCTCTTACTTGCTTTGTGTTTCATCCACATTATTTTGTCTTCCATGCTTTATTCCTGTTTTAACATTGTACTCACTGAATAAATATTTTGTCTTCCATGCTTCATTCCTGTTTTAACATTGTACTCACTGAATAAAATATAAAAAAATTAATGTTGATCTAAATGCTAATTTCACAATGATATAAGATCATTTAGATTTGTGAATGGTTTACGGTACAAATTCCTGTAACTGATGTTAACTAAGGTCATAAAGCATACCTTGTAGGAATCATTATATTCTCTAATGTTAGTAACATTATTATGATGAAATTTTGCACCAATAAAATGTGGTGATTTAATTATATAATTACTTAAAATTTCCCAGAATCACAGGATTATTTTGTAGTTTGTCTCACCTTCATTCATGGATTGTATTCATAGATAATACTTCATAAAGGTTTACAATTATCTGTTGAAACACTTGTAACACAGTTATAGGAAATGCATTTAATAAATAAAATACTCATAAAGAAAAGCTTTGATAAGACATACATGCACAATTTACAGACATATCTCTCATATATATTTAATATATTTCTAGTACCTTTTACATGCATATACACAAGAGAAATTTGTCTCTAAAGTTTAATATTCTGAATGTAATATGGATTGATAATACTTAACTGAATAAAAACACAAAACAGGATTCAAAAATAGTATAAGAGCGCATGCCTGTTACAAAGTAGCTTATAATTTTCCATTCATTAAGAGATAAAATAAAAATTAGAGAAAAGTTTCTACCTGTAAACAAAAATCCAAATTCATATTAAACAATAATGTACTACTTTTTAAACAAAGGTTTTAAAAGTGACATTTCTAAGTACACTGGTAGAGGGATGGGTTATGGCACATTGTATGACCGAAACCTGAACATTAACTACTTTATAACTGTGTATCTCACGGTGACTCAATTTAAAAAAATGGCATTTCTAAATGAGAAAAGCTGAGAGAGATATGGGATGAGATATTTGTTCATGCCTGCAATTGTTTAAATATGTATTTACAAGTAGAACGAAATGAACTAAGTGATCCTCATCTAAGTTTCTTATAACCTTCTGACTTTGTGTATTAACAAAACACCTTGGTAGAAATAAAATTTCCTTTCTACTCCATCAATCTATAATTGCATATTTTACTGAGGGAGCAGTTATCCTTTGCGTTTTAAGACTATTATCTTAATTAAAATAATATGATCTAATAAATCAGGTTTGTTAGCTCTGATTACAGATTGTTGTCTGTAAGCAGATAAGAATCAGGTAGGTATTTTCATGCGAATAACTTTCTACTTAATTGCTAGAACACGGGATAACACTGATTAAAGGAAAAAAAGAAAAACAATAGATTACCTTGAGGTCCTGTAGTATTATCTTATTGTAGCGGTCAGAGTTTGCCTAAAAGTTTTCAATATGAATGAACTATGCATAATAATTTTTGTTTTTATAAGAAATGTGACAACTGAGTTAATAGGATCAGAGATCTTATAATTTAAAGTTGCATTTGTGAGAAATTCTACTTCTGCCCAGGTTTTCTACAAAGTACTCAACAGTAGTATAATTTTACAGAAAAACCTTTATTCCCTTTAACCTAACAATGGTGTATTATAGGGTTTTGTGATACTCACAACTGCTAAATACTTTCCTAGCAGATACCAACAGACTGGCGATGGGTAAATAGTAAGAATACTAATTCACAGTTCTTCAAAAAGTCAAACAGTTATACTGGTGATGTAAGTGTGTGGTACAGCCATATATCCAAAAAACAGAATCATCAAAACTAAAAACATGAAATCTAAGCACTTATTACTTTTTTTTCATTTTTTAATTGAGTCACTGTGAGATGCACAGTACAAAGCTGTTCATGATCACGTTTCAGTCATATAATGATACACAATATCCTGTACTGTCAAGTTGACAGGCAGGGATAGGGTCTCCGGTTAAAGGTAGGGAGAGAATCTGGGAACACTGATGGAGGGAAGTTGACACTGGTGGTGAGACTGGTGTTGGAATATCATATGCCTAGAACTTAACTATTAGTAACCTTGTAAATTACAGTTCTTTAATTAAAAAATAATGTCATATAATCTTGAATAGTTTATTTAACTTGAAAACATTTTGTACAATTTTTAAAGACATTTGAAAACTAATAATTGTTCTATAATGTATTTCTAAGTTTTGATGTAAAATAGTTACACTTAGAAGCAGAGAAAACAGGCACCATCATTTAAGAATTCCTCTATTTGTGGGAGTGAAATACTTTTCCCTCTATACCTGGGGAAAACTATAAGCACCACTCTAGAAAATCTGCCCTTTTCTACTCTAACCTCCCAACCAAGTCCTGTGACATTTTAAAGCTACAAAATTCCTATCTCAGAAGACCAGACAAAAAGGACCAAACCCACGAAAATGACATCTATTAAATTCTAAGAGTGGAGTAGAGAGTGTGAGAGAAAGAGGAAAGAAAGAAAGAAAGAAAGAAAGAAAGAAAGAAAGAAAGAAAGAAAGAAAGAAAGAAAGAAAGAAAGAGAGAAAGAGGAAGGAAGGAAGGAAGGAAGGAAGGAAGGAAGGAAGGAAGGAAGGAAGGAAGGAAGGAAGGAAGGGAGGGAGGGAGGGAGGGAGGGAGGGAGGAAAAAGGAAAGGAAGAAAGAAATAATAGAGAAAGAGAGAAAGAAAGAGAGGAAGAAAGAAAGAAAGAAAGAAAGAAAGAAAGAAAGAAAGAAAGAAAGAAAGAAAGAAAGAAAGAAAGAAGGAAAAGGGAGGGAGGAAGGAAGGAGGGAGGGAGGGAAGGGAGGAAGAAATGGAGGGAGAAAGAAAAGTAAGAGAAAGAAAGAAGAAAGGGAGAAAAAAGTAAGAGAGGAAGGAAGGAAGGAAGGAAGGAAGGGTGGAAAAAGAAAGAGAAAAAGGAAGGAAGGAAGGAAGGAAGGAAGGAAGGAAGGGTGAAGAAAGAAAGAAAGAAAGAGAGAGAGAGAGAGAAAGAAAGAAAGAAAGAAAGAAAGAAAGAAAGAAAGAAAGAAAGAAAGAAAGAAAGAAAGAGGAAGGGAGGGAGGGAGGGGAGGGAAGGAGGGAGGGAAGAGGGAAGGAAGGAAAGAAGGAAGGAAGGGAGTGAGGGAGAAAGAAAAGTATGAGAAAGAAGGAAGGAAGAAAGGGAGAAAGAAAAGGAAAAGAAGGAAGAAAGGACGGAAGGAAGGAAAGAAGGGAGAAGGTAAAGGAAGAGAAAGAACGAAGGGAGAGAGAGAGCGAGAGCAAGAGAGCGAGAGCAAGCGAGCGAGCGAGAGAGAGAGAGAGAGAGAGAGAGAGAGAGAGAGAGAGAGAAGCAGAGCAGATTCATTCACCACTTTCCAGATCACAGAAAGATTTGAGATTTGCTCAGCGGGGTTAAGCACATATCCTCACGTGTTCTTTCTTCTCTCCCCCCTCCCATTCCTCCTCTCTAGCTACACTCTCTTTTCCCTCTCACCTCCCTTTCCTTCTTACAGTCCCTTCTCTCTTTAACTCCCTCAGTCTCTCAGTGTCTCTTCCCCCCATACCTTTCTCTGCATCTCTCTCTCTCTCTCTCTCTCTCTCTCTCTCTCTCTCTCTCTCTCTCTCTCTCCTCTCTCTCTCTCTCTCACACACACACACACAAACACACACACACCCTCTCCGCGGACACCACCATTATATACTCCATATTATCACAAGGAACACAACGGGCAGGCAACGAATAAACCTCATTAATGGATAATAGATTGCTGACCTGCATCCCCCAAGTACCCTGTCTTGGCTGATCATTTTAGGAACCCAGTTTAAGCCCAGTCTGCGCCTTCCCCCAGAAAACCCTTGGCGTCCGTTTACAGGAGAAAACCGGTCACATTCATAGGGCCAAACACGAAAAGAAAGAAAACCTACTAGAGAAGTTAGCAAATAACCACAAGTCCTGCAAGATATGGGGAGAGCTGGGCAAGTTTCCATAGAAGACTGCAAACCGAAGTTTGTGCAGGACTTCCTTACACCAAAGCCTGATACTGAGTGCAGACTAAAGGAGATGAACAATTGAAGAGTTGAGGCAAGTCAGTTAGGACTAGCTCTCCGCAAAGTTGGATGAAAGTGACAAGCCAAGATGCAGGGTCAAGAGGAATAGAGGAGTGAAAGAGCAGCTCACCTGGTATTGGCACAGTCGTTGAACAAAGTTTCAAAGTCTCTCCGGGTGATGAGCTTACAGCGATTCACTCCAGGCTGGATAGCCCCCAGACTGCGAAGGATTCGTACCTGCTCGACAGTACACACCACTGGGGTTATGTCTAGTCGCTTCAGCTTGGTGTACACCGTGTGTAATCCGCCCACCAGGTGCTTGAGGAAGAGCTCAAACACCTGCGGCAGGCAAATTAGTTCCTCGCCATCCATCAGGAATGATGCTACTTTCATACCACGCATATCCACCATCCGACACTCGCCGTTTGCGCTGCCGCCGCCGCTGCAGCCACCAGCGACCTCACCACCTCCGGAGCTGCAGCTGAGGCTACTCGCCATAAAATTGTTGATCACACTGGAGGTGAGATAAGGAGCCTCCATCGAAGGGTACAGGGGCTCGGCACGAAATAAGCCCTCCGGGACGCCGCTGGAAGTTGCAGGGATCACCCGAGGTGCGGGGTCAGCCATAGTCATGCAGTCTCCAACCTGAGGTTCTAAAGCCTTCACTTTCTTGCCTGTTTTCTTCTCAGTACGTTGCACTTGCTGCCTAGCTCTCTATCTCTTTCCCTCTTGCCAGTGCGTTCTCGCCCTGATCTGTAGGAAAGGTCCCAGCTAACGCTAGCGCTCTCCTCTCCCAGGCAAACAGTGGGCAGTCCCGACGCGCTGAGGCCCGAGACTCCACCCACCACCACACCCCCTTCCCAGACCCGCTGTTCTTGAGAACCAGTGGACCCCACCCCCTAGGCTCTGGCTCACAAATGACAGCCTCTTGTGTGGAGGTAGGCACTTCCTGGCAGGCCTCTGACTACTTGAGGCCATCTGGGCTATAGGGTAAATGGGGCTGCAGCTGGAAAAAGGCACCATGTGATGGTGGCTCTGTGTCTGGTTTACTGCCATCAGAAGAGAGAAAATCAGTTGGAGTCTCAAAGTCTCCTGGTCTTGGAACCCCCTCCTCTGCTCCACAAATGTCCTCCAGAGTAGAGTCTCAAAGTGTGACTTTGAACATTACTCCCCCACTCCCACCCCAGTGGCACCTTGCCCACAGGTTCAAACTAGTAAAAGGGAAGCAGTAGCTCCAATTCTATTTGCAATTTGCAAATTTGCTTGAGAATTCTTGCAAAGAAGTCAACAAGGATAGGGTCTCCTAAGGTCCTAAAGAGACCCTAGACAGTGCAGGAGTAAAAATTTCAGCACTTTTTCAACCCACCCAGCACTGCATCACTTCTTTTGGGGTTCAGGGAACAATATGTGGTTCTGGGGATCCAACCCTGGTTGGCCATTGTTCAGACAAGTACCTTTATCTGCTGTACTATCTCTCCAGTTGAATCTTATTTTCAGCATAATAATATTTTATTAATTTCTATTTATTGTGTATTAATGTATAGCACTATATATTTATTTATTTATTGAACGGATATTAACATTTTAAACTTGTGTTCAGCAAATTGCAAAGTGTATGGGCTGCCAACATTTTCCTAATTTTAAAAATATCTTTTTTGAGATACCATGATTTACAATATTGTTAATAATGGTTTATTGTGTAGCTCAATAAAACACCTCATCTATCACCAGAATTTCCGCTTCGCTCCACCAAGGTCCCAAAGTTCCCTGCCTTTCAAACTACAATTTTCCCACTCTTAATGGATTTAGTAAGTGACATCTGTGACAGCACCAAAATCAGAGTTACTAGTTGCTAATCTGCTCAATTAATTGACATTCTGAGTTTCTGAACATTTAGAAAAAGGCTGATGTGGTTTGTGGCTCACAAACTCATTTTGCATCATTACTGCTATGATCCTGGTACAGACCGTCTTTCTATGCTCCCAACACTCTTACTTCAAAGTTTATTTTGTTCCACCTTAGGCTAAAAGTTTTTTTAGATCTTGAGACAGTCAATCTTTATGTGATAAAGGAGCAAAGGTTTGTTCTACTTAATTTTTCTCCTTGTCAATGGGTTTTGGTGTCCAGTGATTAGAGATCCATGTCCTAAATTGTAAACTTAAGATTCCTCCTCTCTCAATTAGTGAGTTACCCTTAAAAAGTACTACAGGATTACACAATAAGCAAAAATTTAGGCAAAGCTTATTCCAGGGAAAAAGAATTTTCCCCTCATAATATGAAATGACTAGATAGCTGTAGAAAGGTTATTTTAAGAATCCTTGTTTAGGTTTTGATTCTCTGGCAGAAAAAAAATAGTGCTTTTGGTACCCGTCCTCTGTATAACTGCTGTTCAGAAAGTAAAATATATGCTTAATTTTCTGATAAACTTTACTAAATGGTGTAAGTAAGACAAGTTCTTTAGTATTTTCCAGAACATAGTAGTTTTAGAAACAAACTGAGGGGCCCGGAGAGAGAGTAGAGCTGGGAAGCTTTGCATCTGGCTGCTGGGTTCAATCCCATGCACTCCTTTTAGTCCCTTGAATTATGCTGGAATGATCCTTGAGTTCAGAGTCAGGAGTAAGCCCTGAGCATAGCCCATTGTGGCCTCCAAATAAAACCAACAAAAAATACCCGAAACGTACTGAATTTTATTCAGATATTTTACTTAGCAGTATCAATATGCCTTTATCCCCCTTGCTTAAGACATAAAATTCATAAAATGCTTTTTTGTGCTTGAATTTTTTCTCCTTTTCTGTTGCATTGTCAATTAATAAGAATTGCCCTTTGAATCAATTCATAAAGTTTCAACTTCTAATTTCAGGGTCAAATGCTAAGACATTAGAATGATAGCTGTTTTTGTAATGTAGTGACAAGCAATCTTAGTATAAAAGACTGGAATGTGTTTAGGGACAATACACTTTTTATAAAGAACTAAGTAGATTTTTTTCCGGTTCCAAACTATTGTGGGAATAAGATAAGGAAGAAGAAAAAGGACAATTGAGAAGAGATACTAGAAGTACAAAAAGCTTCAAGAGAAAGTAATTCCCCCTGCCAAAAAAAATACAAAATTACTTGTAAAAATGTTTGTAGGTACTTATCTTTACAAAAAAGCAATCCAAAATTGTTTTCTATAGGCATTTTGACATAAAAGGTTATTAAATTATATGCTGAACTAAATCTAACAACTTATTCCAAGTGAATAAATTTGACTTTAAAGAAAAGTTTATTTTTAATTCCTCTAATTCTGTAAAAAGTGATGATGTCATGATGCTCCCTGTATATTGTTCCATTGAATATATGTAGTTTGGGTAGGGGTATTGTTGTTGGGATTTTCTTGGAGGAAGGTCCAAGGTCCTAGGTGGTGCTCAGAAAGCCCAGTGACCCTAGTAGGAAATTCTTGGCCAAATTGGCCAGCAATTCAAAGCAATTGTTGCAGCTAGGATTCAATGCTACACAGGCCTTGCTCCATTTTAAGTACCAGGGTCAACCCCTTTTATTCTGGGGTCTCTAGGGCCATACCTGATAGTGCTCAGAGGGACCTCCAGAGATAAACCACTATATGTTTTGTGAGAACATATGATGCCTGAATTGAACTCAAATCAGGGGCCATGCTAGTCATGTGTCCTAAAGTCTGTACTATCTCCCTATTACTCAAGTTGCTTTTACTGAAAATGATTTAGAATTTTCAGAAATAGAGCATTATACAGATGTTTGTTGTTTCAAATTTATGAAATTTTACAATAGAAAAAATGGAAAAGGTGGAATAGTCAGACTACAATCATTATTATAACTATGAAAGTAAAATGTACTATGACAACTTTTGAAAATATTCTGAAGCAGATGCCATATATTTAGTGTGATTTCTCAGCTATGTAGTCTTATTTTAATCACTATAATAGATTAAGATTAAAATTCTAGTAGGCATATTAGAGACCAGAATTGGCCATTGCTCATTGTATAAAGTTTTGAATCTACAAAACTTTCAAAATGCAAAACTCAGCATTATAAGTGGAATTTCCTCCAATTTTCAGTCTTCTAGAAAATAAATTAGGAAATTTTCTCAAGAAATTTATAATTTACAAATTATTATGCAGCTATAAGAAATCATAGGCTGTCACCTTGATTTTTCTTGATATACTCATTATACTGATTCAATGACTGCTATTTCTATTCTTATTATTTTCTGTTGAGATTATATGATCAAATTCAATAATTTGTTTTATTCGTTTCTTAATTCCATATCTTCCATAAAATAAGCATCTTTCTGAATAAGGCTGAATTTTTTTTGAGACCAGATGAAGGCTTGTCCATCAATCATCTGTCAGTTGGAGTTGCATGAAACAGTATCTAACCATTTGATTTTTTATTGTAAAACATAAAAATAAAGTATGCTTGGAAGATGCTTCTCCATGTAGAACGACACTGAAAGAAAATCCTCAAGATTTCATTAAGTCAAATTTGCTGGAATTTTGATTCTATGCAAGAGTTAACCCAGTGAATAAAAACAAAATTAATAGAGATACCATATTTATTCAGAACAAGAAGTTCTCGATGCTACTATTTCAACCAAATTATTTGCAGTCTAAGTATAGACTCTCATACACTGAAATCCTGCCATCTTCCGGGATTTAATTAAGAACTTACATTTTCTCCTAATTGATACTCAATTTGGACGTGGAAGATGCTCATTTGTAACTTACGCAAAAATATTCCACTTTGTCATTGTCAATACAATTCAGGTATTATTTTAATTAAAAAGAAACATGTTTATTGGCAATCTAAAATGAAATTACAAAATGTTCAGAACTATTTAAAGAAACTGGTTTTCAGAAAGGGCATTCAAGCAAAGCACACAGTTAATAAATAGAATCATTTGAACCCATTAGTCAACTGAAGTTGCAACCTCTAATATGGGTCTCTAATCTGAACCTTTCAAGAGCTGAAAAGAGAGGGTGCTAGGGTTAGGACACTTGCCTTGCATGTGGTCAGACTCTGGATGGATTATGTACACCATATTAAGGTCCCTTGAGCACCAGGAAGAATGATGTCAGAACTAAGAGGAAGCCTTGAGCACTGTAGGGTGTGAACAAAACAAAACAAAATAAAACCAAAAAAGGGAAGCTTTAAGAAGCTCTTTGAGATTCATCTGTTCATGAAATAATGAAAAGAGGCCGATTGGATAAGGCAATAAATTAACTGACTAGAATCTATAAACATACAACACCTTACTCAATGGATTTTTCTCTAGGAAAGTATAACACAGCCTTATTTAACATAATTCACGTTTTATTAAGCTACATTTCGATTGAAGATAAGTTTCAAGAATTGCAAAGATGGAAGGGAAGACCACTGAGGCAAGAAGAAAACTGGTCAAAACCTAGGGGTGACGAGTTAAATCAGATGCTTAAAAAAAAGTAAAACAGAATCATTTACCAAAGGGGCCAGGGATTAAGACTTGAATAGAAGAGACGAAAGACAATTGTTGAGAGTCATCAGCACTTTGGTAGTGGTGGTTGGGTAAGGTTGATAAGGTTTTATATCAATACCATAATTTTTGGCGAATTTTTTCTATTTTTATTGTTTTCTTT